TGTCGGATGTCGGGAACAACAATAACCTATCGAAGAGTCTTGCTCAGGCCAGCCTCCCGTGGTACGGCATCGACTTCTGTAATGGATTGCCTAATGGAAGGTTCTCTAATGGCCCGGACCGTTGCCCGATATTATAGGTTAGTACTATTAACGATAAATTGAAAATTAAATACTCTACTATGTGATCTTTTGAATTGCTAAAATATATTTTTTATATTATTTTAATTAGCATAAATCTCTCTACGTTACGTTTTTCAGCTCAAGACGCAATATTCCCGTTGATCGGTTACAAATTGATATGAATATATATCGTAAGGATATTTATGTAATTTCAACCTAAATACCGGCCCATGTACTTACTCAAATTTTCAAACAAACAAATCCTTTGGAGATCATCGTACGTGCAACTCACTAGGGTTTAAACGGATGGAGTCGAGCTAATGCATGATATATTATATTGCTCAAATTTGTTTGAATATTTATTGATTTATAAAAAAGTTGTCTCTGAAATTGATTTGATCAGCAATCGAGTCGAACTCAAACGATTAAATACAAACACTTAATACTTAAATATTAATAGATTGATTCATATGATGTTTGTATTATGTACATACATATATGCATAAAGCATTAGTGAAACATTTTTTTTCCCATGTTTGTGTATTCCAAGGTGATGACATGGGACTTCCAAGGCCTCCGGCATTCCTCGATCCAACGCTAAACGAAGACGTTATACTCGAAAATGGAGTGAATTACGCCTCCGGAGGTGGCGGGATCTTGAACGAAACAGGATCATTTTTCGTAAGTTTATTTAATTTGATGTACATTGAATTTTATTCTATTACATCAAAATGTTATACAATAGTTTTTTTTCCATCAGTTTCATCATATATTAATCTTTTCATAGGTCCAAAGATTTAGCTTGTACAAACAAATAGAGTTGTTTAAGGGGACACAAGATCTTATAAGAACCAAAATTGGAGATGACGAAGCTGATAAGTTCTTCAAGAAAGCTCGATATGTCGTCGCCCTTGGAAGCAATGACTTCATTAACAACTATTTAATGCCCATTTATAGAGATTCGTGGACTTACTCGGACAAAAGTTTCGTTCAATATTTAATGGGAACTCTTCGGGACCAACTCACTGTAAGTCGTTTTTTTTTTGTAACTTAAATATCGTATGGAATTCGAATACTATGATTATTAGGGCTGAAAGTCGGATGGATCAGATCGAAAACAAGTCTTTTGAAAAAAAAAACATTTTTTTTTTGGAAATCAAATAACACTTCTGATTCCAATTCCGAAATTTTTGGATATACGGAAATTATAGGACTCGTGTAATTTTTCTAAAAATTGGAAATATTTTTGGAAATTGAATTCTAATTAAAAAAGATTCAGAAAAATCGAAAAATCAGAATGAAGATATTTGTTCTGAGGTGGGAAAAAAATGGATTAACTTTCTCATCCCTAATGATTTTTATGTTAGAAATACACGTATGACGATTATGGCCTTGTATTCATGAAGGTGCTACACGGTTTAGGCGTAAGAGAGCTAATGGTGTTCGGTTTAGGGCCGATGGGGTGCATCCCTCTTCAGAGAGTTTTGAGTTCATCAGGCGATTGTCAGGACAGGACTAACAAACTTGCCCTAAGCTTCAATCAAGAATCTAACAAACTCGTGACTGAATTATCGAGCCGCCTCCCCAACGCAACCTTCCGATTCGGAGACGCTTACGATGTTGTCAACGATTTGATCACCAATCCGAACAAATATGGTAAGCAAAACGCATATCGGGTTTAATTAATTTTATTGCTAAAATTAGTATATGCGAGGTATTTTTTTTAGCAATTCGAGGTCACACAAGAGAATGTTGAATGTAGATTACTCTATTTTTATGGGTTATTGCAGTCAACACCCCCATGTTTACTCTATTTGCTAAAAATCCTCATTTTATTAATATTAGTAAAAGAAGAGAAAAAAACCCTACAATGCATTATTTAGTAAATTACACCCTGAAACCTCGCCATTTAGGGGCTGTGTGCTAAAAGAATGCATTATAGGGGTTTTTTGCCAATATTATTAACACATGAATTTATTTAGCAATTTGATATAATAAAGGTGTGATAAATGCAATAAACTCCTATTTTTATTAGTAAAAATTCCTATATATATATATTTGTACATCGGTGTCGAATGCAAAACAAAATTAAAAGAAATCGACTTATTGCCTTATTTTCTTTCATTTTTGAAGTATTTAGATAATTAATTTGATAGATTTATTGGAACCGTATGTAGGGTTTAGCAACTCGGATTCACCGTGCTGCTCGTTTGGGAAGATACGACCGGCTCTAACGTGTGTTCCAGCTTCGATATTGTGTAAAGATAGAAGCAAGTATGTGTTTTGGGATGAATATCATCCATCTGACAATGCTAATCAGCTCATTGCTAATGAGCTGATTAAAAAGCTTGGGTTTAAGCCTATTAATCAAACAGAATATTCCTCTTCCCCTGCACCAGCAATTGCTCCAACTGCTAATTAACGGTGATTAAAATTTAAGCAAGACCTAATTTTCTCGAACGATCCTTTTTTTTCAAATCGATAATTCAGTGTTTCTTGAGGTTTATTAATTACCATGTGAAAATTCCCTTTTATTTATTTACTGAGATTTTGTTCTATAAAATGTCATGTGTTGTTTAGTTTATTACATGTGTTATATTTTGCTAATTATAGAAGTGGGACTAAATATTATTTTTGTAGAGTTCATAATATAGAAATGGGAAGCAATGTTGCAAGTTGCCAAGTTGCTTCATTTTGCTTTTTGATGAGAGACATTAAAAATGATAATTTAAAAAAAAAAATAGTTTAGTTATTTAAATATAATAGTGATTAGAAAATTAATTAGACCCATAAGATGATGTGTCCACCACTTGAAAATGATGCACTTGTTCATCCCCACTCATATATAGTATAATAATATAACAATTTGAAAGTGGAGTGAGATATTAACTAACAACACTTAAAAGTGGTTTACTTAAGAATCTAATAAAACATTTTGCAAGTTGGTGTGATAAAACCAACCAATATCATTATTTAAATAAATAAAAAAAAAAAAAAAAAAGATAATAGGCGATTTATATGCTACAATGGGTTATTTACGCTGAGTTTGTTATCTGTCGTTGAGATTTAAATAACTACCAACTAACCACACATATACACACATAAGCGTGTCTGTGATTATGTGCAGATCTATTGTTAACAAACACTCGGAGTAAACAATTTAGTGTCCGTGTAGCATAAAATTTCCTGAAGATAACTAGTTGTTAACCTTTCATCCTTAACGTAAATTTCGTAGTTGTGCAATCGAACCAACCAATATCCTTATTCAAAATAAAAAAATTAAAACAAAACTAATTGTGAAAATATGCAAACTATTGAATGATCACACATAGATCATCCTAAATAAATTTAACATAAATTTAAAACCAGATGCCTTCAATATTTCTCTTACATGCAAAAGAATCATCAAAGCAAAGAAAGAGAAACAGAGTATATATAAATAATTAACTTTTCAAACACAACCAAGAAATTAATAACTAAATACAACTCATAAT